TCCTATAACCCTAAGTCCCAAACCGCAAACCATAAACCCCAAACCCTGAAACCTGTAGACCAATGCCCAATGCCCGGACAGGCTGTGGCCACCTTCTTCGGGCTTTTGCCCGAGGTGCCTGCCAAAATCTGGCAAAGTGTTTTTGGCTCAGGGTTCAGTGTTTCTTGGGTTCAGGGTCCTTCGAGAAGCTTTGATGACAATGGCTGTGGTGAGGGGGTGGAGCGGGGGTAGGGGGGTTATTTAACAAGGTGCACTCCACATCGGCCCTCAGCAGGGATGTGCTGGAAGCTGGCCCCCGCAAATCACGGTGTACACCCTAAACATCCCTAAACCCTAAACCCTAAACCCTGTATCCGGTGAATCAACGCCGCTGCAGGCGCCCATCCGCGTCACCTACTTCGGCGTGCTCCGTCTGAGGCTGGCCAGGGCCGAACCGACATCGGGGCGTGTGGTTTCAGAGTGTTCCGCCCTCTCACAACGCTTAGGGGCCCTTTTTGTTTGGAGGGGGGGGGGGGGTCTATTCTTGACGGAGTTCCATCACAAAGGCTACTTGTTAACTAATGCTGTGGACGGTAAGTTTGGACATCCCCCCACTCTAAGCTTGGTATGTTCCCCTTGTGCGAACAGCTCTTGAATAATTAGGGACCCTAGAGGGGGTACTATAACCCTAAACCCTCAGCCCGAAACCCTAAACCCCTGTTAGCATCTGAATAGGGACTCTAGAGGGGTACTATATCCCTAAACCCTCAACCCTAAACCCTAAACCCCTGTTAGTATAAAGGGGGAACATCCCAACCCTAAAAACCCCAAAGCCCGAAGCATGCTGGGACAGCAGCCCTACAGCCCTATACCCTTCAAGGGTCCATGTACCTATATAGGGAGTACTTGGGCCTTAAAGTATTTCCAATTTAACTTTGGGGCCCAAGTATATAATCATAAGGTACATGGACCCTTAGGGATAGTGGTTTAGGGTTTAGGGTTTAGGGTTTAGGGTTGGTTGAGGGTTGGAAAGCTCCAATGCCCCGCCAACCTTCAACCCCTCCCCCCTCCGACCCCCCCCCCCCCTCCCCATCAGTTTCCTAAACCCTTAGCCTCTCGAAGCCTTCGAACTCGAAATGGGAACCCCCCCCCCCCCCCCCCGCCTCCACAGAAATAAAAAAGAAGACCCCTCAAAGCCCTGAACCCTCAATGCCAAGCGCCCTAAGCCCAGCCTAAGCCCTAAACCCTACACCCTCAACCTAACCCACCCCTATCCCCGCCTCAGGTGGCGCGACAGCATCCTGCTCCTCGTTCTGCTCAGCTTGGGGTTTTAAGGTCTACACGGCGTTCCGAGGATGTGCTCAACTCTTATCTGCCTGAAGCCCCATTCGCCCCAGTCCAGGGCTCCAGATCTTTCCGGAACAGGCTTAGGGTTTCAGTTGTAGGGTTTAGGGTTTAGGGTTTAGTGTTTAGGGTTTAGGGTTTAGGGTTTAGGGTTAGGGTTAAACCCTAAACCCTAGACCCTAAACCCTGAACTGTTTGCAGTGGCCCAGGTATCTAATAAATGCAGCTTCCCCTTTCCTGCAGACTCAGGACAAGGCATCGCCTGGGAAGTTTTGGAGCGAGAGATTCGGAAGCTTCGGGGGAATTGAGGAAGTACCGATCTTCGTGACCGTAGCATCGTCGGAGTTGGGCGCTTGGTGGTTAGGGCAACCCGAAACCCTGAACCCTAAACCCTAAGCCAGAAGCCCTAAACCCGAAACCCGAAACCCTAAACCCGAAACCCTAAACCCTAAACCCTAACCGAGGGTCCGGGAGTCTTACAGCTGGGCAACGCAGGGAAGGTTGTCAACAGACGTGTTTCCCAGCACTCAACCCCTATAGTATAAATAGTACAAATTCAACAGATTCTGTTGAATTTGTCCTATTTTTACTATTTCGTGATTATTTTGTTTTGATATTTGTGAAGTACTATTTCTACACCAACCATGAACCCAAAGTCACGAGTCTTGGGACTCATCTTCAGATTTTGCACCCTACCTTTTTTTTGAAGCTCCTATCTTGTCTGGCTTTCCGGGTCTTATATTTAGTATCATGAAAGGTTTTTTGTACACGCAGAATATAAACATACATACATTTTATACGGAATATCCATAATTATATGTATACAAGAATTGATAATAGCAACTACAAAAAGAATAATAAGAATAAGAAAAGAAAAAGCAACATAATCTAAGACTTACAATCATAAGGGTGACCACATATATGTATAAAGATCCACCTATCACATGCCCGCAGCGCTCCAGGGGCTCAAGACCCCCCCCCCCCCTTCAACCGCTAAACCAAACTCATTGGTTCAGAATGTAGGAAAAGAGGGAATGAGGCACCCTGTAGAATCCCCTCAAAAGGGTAGTTTTAGGTGGATAGGAGAGGGAATGAGGCACCCTATAGAATCCCCTCAAAAGGGTAGTTTTAGGTGGATAGAAGGTACCTAAGCATCTCATTTCCCTACTAAGAGCCAGTAGGTAAACCCTGAACCCCCGAAATCTTGGGGATTTACCCGCTTAGGCCCTGACTGATATAAGGGGCCTTATCGGGGTTTTATTAACGTACCTTGTATAGGGGTTCTTACGGTACCTTATATAGCGGTTATATATGTGGGTTATATAGGGGAATAAGATTAAGGACTCTTCCCCCCAACCCCGGGGGGGAACCCAACAAATGGCTCCGGTGGAGCTCTTCATCCACTCGCAGAAGTCCACCTTCGAGCTAGAGGAGCCGACGCCCAACTCGGAGTTTAGATTTTAGGGAGGTTTGGGAGAGGGTTGGGAGTTTTGTGAGTTTTGGGAGTTTTGGGAGTTTGGGGAGTTTGGGGAGGTTTGGGAGTTTGGGGAGTAGGGTTCAGGGTTTAGGGTCTTGTATTCAGGGGAGCCGGCGGGGGGGGGGGGGGGGCTTTGGGAAGGGGGGCTATCCGGAGAGGGGAAATGATTCGGGTACCCTGGACCTCCAAGTGTCCTTCCGAAACTCTGTCATCGAGCCCAGGAAAGTCGAACTCCTCCGTGAAGCTCTCACAAGTGAGTGTCTTGTCAGGTCAGGGTTTCGGGTTTCGGGTTTATTGCTTTGGGGTTTGGGGTTTAGGGTTCAGGGTTTAGGGTTTAGGGTTTAGGCCAAGGATAGCGAAGGCGCCTACCTTGCAGCTGCAGGGGTGTACACGTTGCGTCGGGTTTTGTTGCCTTTCGGGCGAATATGGGGGTTTGCGACATTAAGGGTCCCCTCATTTCGACGCCCCAAAACAAGGAGGATTTCTGTACAATGAGGACCCCAAGTCAGGCCGCCCTCCCCCCCCCCGCCCCCAAGCTTCCCCAAACCCTAAACCCTAAACCCTAAACCCTAAACCCTAAACCCTAAACCCGGGCTTGGGCCTGGATTCCCACTCCCGGTCTTCTATCAGGCCTGCATGCCTCGAGCTGCCAAAGCCCTAAACTCCAGAACCCTAAAACGCACCAAAACCCTAAGCTCTAGAACCCCAAGACCCCAAACTCTACAACCCGAATAGGCCCCAAAACCCTAATAGCCCAGCCTTTCTCATGGTTTAGGGTTTCGCTTTTTTTGTGAAGCCAGGACCGGTGGGCCCTTACTCTGGATTTTTTTGGTCCGAGGTTCCCTGGTAAGCGATAATGAGGGGAGAAAAGAATAGTGGTCTGTCCTACTCATGGTTAAAAATTGTGTTAGGGTTTCGGGCTCAGGGAGGGCTCAGGGCTTAGGGCTTATAAAGTGCAGGGGTTTAGGGTTTAGCGTGTAGGGTTTGGACTTAAGGTACTTTCGTGGGTTTAGGGCTTTGTGCCAAGACCCAAACGACTCCAGAGGTTCGGGATCCCGATCCAATGTCAGCTCCTCTCGGCCGAGGTGGCCTGCTTCAGCGTTGCAGGGTTTAGGGTTTAGGGTTTAGGGGTTAGGGTTGTGAGCTCCAGGGTTCTGAGGGTTTTCAGGGTTTTCGGGGTTCTGAGAGGGTTTCTTTTGTATAAAGTGTTCAGGGTTTTTATTGGGGTTCTGCGTTTTGTTTAGGGGTTTTGAGGGCCGACTTAGCTTGCTTTGGCAGTCGAGGGTTCAAGGGGCCTCCGGCGGCGTTGGGTTTCTTTCTGCCAAGCATGGGTGTGGAAGAGTCCCAGAAGCCTAAGCTCCTGTTGAATTTGTATAGTAAACCCTAAACCCTAAGCCCTAAACCCCTGTCTAGGGCTTCGGGCAGTCAAAGTATTTAGAGCTGGGCCCATTCCTTGCATTCTTATCCCCTCACTGCACTTCGATGATTGTAGCCTCCATGTCCCAGCCCCGCACCCTGGTACTAGGATCCCTTTACTTCTTTAGGGTTTGCAGGGTTCAGGGGATTAGGGTTTAGGGTGTAGGGCTTAGACTCTGAACCCTACCGCCACCCCTCGGAATCCCCCGACTTCTGAGGGACGGCGGCTGGAGGACGCGGGGCCGCTACCCGCCAACCCGATCCACGTGCAGGAGCTGGGGGTGGGGTAATTACCGGGTCATTGTTGAACATCGTTTTATTCTTTTTGAATACCTAAAAATTACAACCAAGAAGGAGCAAACATGATCATTTTCAAATCGTACCCCAACAATAGCGCGGATTAGGGGCTTTGGGGCTTAGGGTTTAGATGGCGGCTTCGGCGTTTGGTTGATTTAGGTTGTGTGGTTTACTGCTGCTTGTAGTGTTTCGGATTCCTTTTGGGCCAATCAAGCCGAAAGGGTACAATATTCTTTCTTACAAAGCTTTATGGTTTGTATGGGGTGGGCCCTTGTGGTACCCGCCCTAAACTAGAAAGAATGTACCTCAATACAGAAAGCTCTTGGGACTCCTTATGCACCTTGCGCCTAATCCCTTTAAACCCACAGAAGCCCCAAGAAGCACAAGCCCCAAGCCCCAATCCCCACAAACCCTAAAGGAAGCCCAATGCCTCCACCCACTACAAGCCCTGCAGGTACCAGTTACCCATAGCTTAAAGCAACAACCTATGTCGGGAAGATCTACAAAGATCCCAGTAGCAACACAAAGGTATACACATGGAGGGAAAGTCGGGCCTTGGTTTTGGGGTCAACGGTTTGAAGGGTTTCGAGGGTTTTGGGCTTTAAGGTGTTAGGGTTTAGGGTTTAGGGTTTAGGGTTTAGGGTTTAGGGTTTAGGGTTTAGGGGCTCGTTCCTGCCTGGGGTCTGGGGAAGAGGACTTCGGGCGTTTGCGGCCCAAGACGTCTGCAGCTGCCTCAACCTTTGGGGGCATCGAGCGCGAAAGGCTTGCAGAGTTTCGGTTTAGGGCCCAGCCCTAAGGGTCCATGTACCTTGTTTCTTTAACTTGGGCCCCCAAGTCCCTATGTAGGAAGTACCCTAAGGCCTAAGTATTCCCTATTAAGGTACATGGACCCTTAGGGCAGGGTTTTGGGTATAGGGTTCAGGGTTTCGCTTTGGAAGAAAGGTTGGGTTGCCTCTTCGCATTTGCAGAGCTTGCTTGCTTGTTGCTGCCTCCACCTGGTTCCCATGGTTTGACATGCCCATACCGAAGGGGGGACCGATCAGCTCTGAGCCCAACTCCCCAGTAAGCGCTTAAAGCCTTTCAAGAAGCTTGAAAGCCCGAAGCCTAAACCCCAAACCCTACTTGGCACTTGAATTCACAGCTTTGCAAATTGGCTGTCGTCCACTATCAAAGTTAAAGATTGATGCGATCGGATGCACTGAGAACCCTGCACCCCGAACCCCAAAACCAAATAAACCTAAAGCCACACACACGCCCTGAACCCGTTAACGCCTAGTCCTCAAGACCCTAACCCTCCCCCCCCCCACCCCCTGCCCCCAAACCAAAACAGGAAACAAATCCGAAATCCCAAAAGCAAACCCAGAGAACCAAACAATATCCTCACTCAACCCTACCCCTGAACCCCCTTAACAAACGGCAACCCTGCACCGTTTCATTCCTAAACTCCTGGAGCCCTGAAAGCTCCCCAAGACTACTCGTGATCTCCGGTCCCTTTCCCCCGCATGCTTCGCTGAGGATGGCAAGGTCGCGGAGATCCAGCACGTGCCCAAGACAGAGGCCAGGCGTTCGTGCTTACAAGGCTTTTGACCATTTTGGGGCCGCGGTTAGTATCGGGCTTAGGGATTTTATAGCCGGTTTTGAGAGAGTCTTGATTGTGAATTGGAGCCTTGCATGGGCCCATACACATGGGGTCGACCTATAGAAGCTAAACTAAACAAACCCTAAGCAGGAGCAGTTATTTCAATCAGGACCGCCCGGCTCAGGAAACTGGGCAACCCTAAACCCTCCCAAAATGCTCAAGTCCTGGTTCTACTGTACTCCCCTCACGAGGGGCTCGTAATTCTTCAGAAGCCCCCGTATGGACATAAAGAAGTAGACATCATCGTCCCCCGTCCGGTTTACTATAATTGAAAACTTCATCCAAGTTCCTTACCGGCAACCTGCAATCCAAAACAAGAGATTCACATGGCCTATGTCATTGGGCCTATATGGGCCTTAAGGGTTTCTAGGAGGTTGCTTGAACAACAGCGTGGCAGGAGCGCGGTATTGCCTTGCGCCAGCTGAAGGCCAGCGCGCAGCACCACTTAAAATATGGGTTGGGATATTCAATATCTACATCAGGGGCTGGTCTAAACCCGGAGCCTGGCGAGATAAACCACCCCAATACCCTACCTCCCTCAATGCCCAAAGCCTGAACCCTAGACCCTAAACAGCCCTCACCCTAAGCCCCGAACCCTAAACCCAGTTGACCTTAAAATATGCCTGAGATCCTAAATCGCTTATGTATTTACAGCCCAAGCCCTCAATCTTATAAGTAAACCCTACAACCTTGTAGTTAGACCCTGAATCCTAAACCCTAAAAGCCCGAAACCCCTTCTCATGCTCTTCGCCAGCGAGGCGCTCCTCGCCTTTGTCCACGCCTCGGCCACCGAGGCCCACGTAGAGGGGCAAGCGGCCGTGGAAGGTCAAAACACTAAACCATCTCAATCCTAAACCCTCGAGGCCCTGAGCCCGTAGGGCATTGAGCAGGTGCTTGGAGGTTCACGGGTAGGTATTTGTGGGGCTCCAAGTACGGCAACTACAATGACAACTGGTTATAGCCTTGTTTAGGGCACTTATAACCCTACTTGCAACTACCCCTTGAGGACCGAATGACACCCCAAAATTGGAACACATACCTTACTCTACTTCCTATTAATGCAATATGAACCATAACCCTTTTAGGGTTCATTTCGTCCCCAGGTCCATCATGAACCTTCAAGTAAGGAGAGGGATTGCAGGGATGGCAGCTCGCAGACTGCGTGTGGTGTTCCGAATCAGGATCTGCTTCTACGTACCTTCTGTCCTAGAATTCACATAGAGCGACCCTCTGAGAGTGGGACTCTAGTTGATTGGGACAACCATGTGTGTGTGAGATGGTGGCGAGTAAGACTCAGCGTTCCTAGGAAGAAGCCTTGCTACGGTTCGCAAAGCCATGCCCCATTGCGGATAAAACCTGTCCAGGATGAGCGAAGTGCAGCCATTGGTTCTCCTGCACCCTAAACCTTAAACCCTCGTAATCCCTAAACCCTAAGCGTCTTACGACCCTAATGAAGAGTGCATGCGTCTCCGCATGCGTACCAGCCGCCTAAGCCAGCAAAGAAGAACGAAGCCTGGAGCCGTTCATAGCTCCCAGGAAACCCTGAAACCCCCAAACATCCCCAAACTCCTATCTAGACAACCTGAAATTGAAACACCCTACACGCACTCCCCTAAACTACCCCAAGCTCTGAACTCCAAACCCTTTCCTTTTCAGGGCCAGCTACCTTGGAAGAGGCGCGATGGGGCCTGGATCCAACCGAGCAAGATGCAACTCGTACGCTTTTATTTGCACGAATTAATGGCGCTGCGAAACGGCCATCTTTGTGGTACGGATATAGGGTGCGCCTAGCAGTTCTTCATACAGAATGAGTGAATGTCGTACCTCATATCTTCATACGGAATGAGTGAATTTGGTACTCGATATCCGGATATCCGCCTATACCACCCGTTAATGAGGCCCCGTACGAACCCCACGACCCCGGGCTCCTAGTCTGCAGCCTGAGAGGGGTGAGGGGCCCCCTGATTTTGGGAAGTTTTAGGGTTTAGGGTTTAGGGTTTAGGGTCTAGGGTTTAGGGTCTAGGGTCTAGGGGCTTAGGGTTCAGAAGCCTTCTAGACCCTGATATACGCGTCTTCACCCTCGAAGCCCTCGAAGCCAAGAAACCTCTACGACTGCACCGCGTGGGTCATCAAGCCAGCGACCAGACATGCTCAGTGCAGTCTCTTGTCTCAACCCTAGACCCTAAGGCCTTAAAGCACTTCCTAATCAGGGACTTTGGTGCCCAAGTATACAGTAGTAACGTACATCGACTAAAACGCTAAACACAGGTCTCCACGGAAAGTTTAGGTTTAGGGTTTCAGAACTTTGCTGGTGCCTGCTTTTTTTGGGGCGGGTGGGGTAGGGGGCGGAAGGCGAGGGAGGGGGATCTCCTGCAACCAAAAGCCGAAACAAAGGAGAACCTTTTGTTCCCCTACATGGCAGGGGAGTATAGTTAACTAGGTGTTCAAGTTCTGCTTCGTTGGGTTTGGGGGTGGGGTTTCAGGCCTCACGCTTGCACTTGTTTGTACTTGTGAGGTCAGGGTCGGAGTTTGCTTTGATCCCTGAGGCTATGTGGAGCTCGTCACCGAGGACCCGGTAAGCTCGCACCCCAGTCTGTACTCGCGAGTCTTGTCGGCATGTGATTTTTACGGAGTGCTCCGCCTGGTCCTGCCAGGCCAGAAGCCCAAGTGGTTCGTCAGCCACGCCTGGTCGGAGCCGGTGCGCTGGGGGGTGGGGGGGGAAGGGGCTCCTAAGCCACTTCCTATATGGGTAGTTCTTTAAAGGGTCTCTTGTTAGGTCCTGATTGCAAGGGTGCCGTATTCTCTAGGGGACGCAAAAGGTGCCCCGAATGTAGAGAGCTAGCCATCTGTGATATGTGGCGTTTGGGGCTTTGCCGAGCCTAGCTGGAAACCCCGTTCATCAAACTCTACGCTCTTCAGCCTTTCCGAAGAGACAGTCTTGGGCCTGAGGGGTGCTTGGAAATTTAAAAAACTCCAAAGAAACAGCAAAAATCCATAACTTCTGCTGGGGTTCCAAGTTCAGCATAGTGGCAGGTCTCCACCTTTGCCCTCTGCTTGGAGCAACATGGCCGGCTGCGCGACCTCGAGGACAAGGCAGGGGCCGGGAAAGCCCATGAATCAGAAGCTAAGACGAGACGCCAGCACCAGGGGTATTAGTGTTCAGGGGCCCTAAACCTAAACCCTGAACCCTGAACCCTAAAAGCCCTAAACCCTGGTTTCCGGTTTCCTGGCATTTAAATTATCACTTTTTGGTACAGAAATGCAGCGGTGCCAGCACGACAGCTGCCATCCACGAGCCTTCTCGAACACACGGACAACACATGACAACCAATAGCCTATGACCTTTACCCTGTTGGGTACCCTTAACCTGGGGTTTAGGGTTTTGGGCTTTAGGGTTTAGGGTCCCCTAAGGGACCATGTACCTAAATAGGGAATTCTTGGGCCTGAAAGTACTTCTGAAAATCTTTGGGGCGCAAGTATACAATAGTAAGGTGCATGGACCCTTAGGGTAAGCCCTATACAGACCCTAAGAGGCAGGGTATCCAACTTGCCTGTCCGACTTTTGGACAGACAGTCCTATCTCTTGCTTAACCTAAGCCCTGTCTGGGCATTGCAAGCCCACACCAACCAGCCGCAGTAGTGAGAAAGCAGCAATAGGAGAAGCCATGATCTGGCTACCGTCAACTCTTTCCAAGCCCTTGCTCTAGCACCTAGAATATTCTACCCTGTGCCCTCTTCTGGGTACATGCCTCATCATAGGGTTTGAGTACTTTACACGCAGATGCCTCGATGCCAGGATGCCTGGTGGGTTTGCGCCTACGCGGCCCGGCGCTGCAACATTGAGCCAAAATGCCCAAAGACCTGCATGGTCTGGGGTTCCATTGGGAAACCAGGATTTGGGGTTTAGTTGCCCTAAGCCCTCAACTGCTCTGAAGCCCGATGCTGCCTATGTTTGAGGGACTCGCGGTGGAGTGCGTTGAAGGCTGCAGGCATGCTTTTGAGCTTGGGCTGATCTGAACCCGTGGAAAACAGTGAGGCATACACAAGGTACACCTTGGCGGCAGTTGCTTCATCTTTGAGTTGGCCCCCTCAGCGTCAAACGCCAACCCAAAACTGAAAAGGGACATTGCTTCGTCCTGTACCCTAAACCCTAAACCCTTAGCGCAATCAAAGTAAACGAGCATCTGCCGTGAAGAATCATGCAGCGCCACATTCGGGACTTGCCAGTCTCAAGTGTCGTTTGGATATGCGTTGCACTCTAACGGTGTGTTTTCGTCCCAAGACTTGTTGAGATATGTTGAGATCCAGCAGACCTTCAATACTCAATCACATCAGAATCCTGTGTACCTGTACAGATGCACGTGTGTACTGTCATGTGGCTGCTGTGTATATCCCTTGGGAAAACTGAAGCACAGGCGGTGTGGGTGTTACCTTCATCTGGAGTAGCGGGGCAAGTGGGGTCTCGAAGTTCGATGTGCAAAAGATCTACAAGCTCTTCTTATCACCCCCCAAAAGGTCCATGTACCTAAATACTTGGGCCTTAAAGTACTTCCTGTGTAGTCACTTCACTTTGGGGCCAAGCCTGTAAGTATAAGGTACGTGGACCCTTAGGGATCTCTATGCGCACAGTCAGCTCAAGAATCTTCGAGAACGCCTATCAAAAATGGAGGAGAGCTGCGCTGTTGAACTTGGAACAGGCTCTCTAGCATGTGACCTAGGGGGGGCCCAGTCATCGTACCATTATGGAACTAGGTATCGAAAAGATCATACAGGCCTGCCAGGATGGAATCCAAAATCACGCTGAAGTTTTGTTTGGGCTGTGCCTAATTCCATAGCAGCTGCGCCCTTGAAGGTAGTTCCTTTTGGTGGTATCGAAGTTCCTTATGCGTTGCACGAAGCCTACACTGACAAACCCCGAAAAAGGAACTACACGTAAGGGTCCACGTAGTGGAATAAGTGGACCCTGAGGCAAACAACCAGCACGAGCTGGGCTCCGATCTCACCCAAGACCCTTTGCAGAGCAGCTTCTTCCGGGCCATGTGCCTTTGTGAGGCTGGTCACCGGGGGGGTTAAAGTTTAGAGTTTAGATTTGAAGCTACGCTGCTGGCCCGTGGGTCTCGATTCATGGGGCTCAGGAGAGATGCGTAAGACGCCTGTCGGAGCCAACAGTCCTGGCAGGGCGTCTTGCTGGTTCTGGATCAGGATGCCACGCAACTCAGCTGCAGTGGGAGACATCCTAGCTAGTCGAACCTGTGTTTTCGGCTGTCAACCATCTAATGTACAGGTGTGCCCGGAGTTCGGACTGGCACTCCTGGCGACCACTCCCATACCCGCCTCTATGTTTCATCGGAGAGGGAGAGAGAGAGGGACATAGAAAGAGAGAGAGAGAGAGAGAGAGGGGAGAGAGAAACAGAGAGCGGCAGCGCATCTCCGGCCAAAAAGGCCCTTCCGCCGCATCTGGTGCTGCTTCGAGCAGTCCATCGCCATCACAGCCACCCGCGACAATCGACTCCTTCTTGACATCAGCAACTTGCACGAACGGATTTCAAGGTCACAATACAGTGAGCTTGTTTTCTCCTCATGTGCAGGTTTATATCTCAGCAGATCACCAGAACTAGCTAGAGCTGACGAGACGAGCTGTGGAGGGGTGCTGGTGTGACTGAGACTGACGAATCCTTGAAGGCCATTGTCCTGAGTCCGCAAGCAGTGCGGAGGTGATTACGGATGGAGCATCTGGACTGCGAGAACCCCCTAAACCCCCCTAAACCCCCAAAGCTCCCGAGAAACCCCCCAAGATCCCCAGAGACCCCCGAACCCCAAAGCACCACAAACCCCCTTCACTCAAAAAGCCCTCTGATCATGAAACTTAATTCAGAACGTCCTGAAAACCCTAAACGAACCCTCAAGAAGTTAAGAATCCCCAAAACAGCCGGCTGAGGGTTCAGGGTTTAGGAACCCTAGATCCTAAATCCAGGGAACTCTTGTCGGCAACGATGCCCCAGGGTCGGCTCGAGGTTTTAGAGATTCCTGGATGTAGGGTTTAGGGTTTAGGGTTCAGGAATTCAGGATTTTTTGGGTTTTGTTCTTTTCTGGGCTTGGGGTTTTGTGTTATCAGTAGCGGCCATGTATTCTGAGGCCGTTTAGCGGCCCTGTTTCCATCATACCCCCCCTTTGCACCACACGACCAGAGCCATCTCATTTGAATGCAGAGCTTCAACTTACGAACGGGCTTATCGGTTTTTACCTTGGGGACGAAATGGAGCCTAAAACGGTTTATGGTTCATATTACCTCAATAGGACGTGTAGTCGTACAGGCATATGGCCCCTGCCCAAGGTAGGGCTTCAGTCCTTATAAGGTCGGAGTTGGGACTTCAGGAGGCTATTGGGATAGTGTTAGTCGCCTTTGTTGCGTGAACGAGGATTCTGTTTTGGTATTTCGTCAGAGCCCTTGCGTGTTGGTCGACTAGCTTATGAGGTCACGGCCGCAGACCTCCGCGAAAAGCAGCGAACGATGTTCCGCAAGGTCGACGGCACCCTGGCTTTGTTTACCGTGCAGCTTCCACTGGCTTCCACTGTCTTCAGGGAACATTTTCAGGTGTGCATGTTTGCATTGCGACAAGCTATCGTACTTTCACACCCGAAGGTGGATGACTTCTGATGTGTACTTTGTCCCACCCCTCCCCATCATTGGAAACGGAATTGCCGCTGACCCTTACCCACCACAAGCTCTGTTTGAAACTGAGGCTATGAGGATAGTGTCAAAGCGCATCGCGAGGCAGCTTTCCCCATTTCGTTGCTCCTTGGATCAAGCTAGGAACTGGGTACCCTATATAGTCCCTTACAGTAACAGTTCACTTGTGGGGATAGAAGATACCTATACTTCCCTAATATCCTTTATGACAACTAGTCGCTGTTGAGGTTTTGGGTTCAGGTTGTTTAGCGTCGAGGATGACTTTTTCACGCTCCGGTCCTCTGCCTACCCCCCCCCCCCTGCCCTTCCCCCCGACAGGGAACACCTTTTTAGATTTTCGCCCTGAGCCCTACAAGCCCTAAACCCTAAACGCAAACCATGGTTTCCCTCAAACTGATAATCCTCCCTGAACCCCCAAAACTGGGTCCTTGTTGGCTTTAATTTTGCAGTTTTGGTATCAAAAGAACCCAATGAGGATTAAACATGATATTTTTCAATATACCCCCAACAAGGACCCAGAAGACCCTGCCCAGCACCTCTGCCCAGGATCTTACAATCTTTGACGGTTATCAGCGTGAAGAACGCATCGGCCTCGAAAGCCATTGACAAGGCGTTTATAAACCTTGAACCTTGAAACCCCAATAGGGACCGTTCAAAATTATGTGCGTTTTGGAAGGGAGCCTGAGGGTCAGGGTTTGGGAATTTAGATCTTGGTATCGGTGATTCGTATGATCGGTCGCTTTTGCAAACTCTGGGACGGCAAGCGCCCTCAACCCTAATCCATGCCCGTTGGAACACCAATGAACTCAGCGTATCTGGTATGCCTTTCCCTCTGTTTGCGGGGGTACCTGTTGGTTCCCTGTCATAGTACCCTCGCCCTGAAAGTTAAGCCGTCTAAGCTCTAAACCCTAAGCCTTAAACCCAAATCATCCGACTACCACCCAAACCCGGAAAGTTAATCCCTAAATTCTAAACTTGATAAAAACTACCCCAAGCCGGAAAGTTAAACCCCTAAGTCCTGAACCCCAAATCTAAGGGTCCATGTACCTTATGATCATGCACTTGGGCCCCAAAGTCAGGAAAAAGACGTACTTTCAGACCCAAGTACTCCCTAAATAGGTACATGGACCCTCAGGGTTCGTGTGTCAAGGGATGAAGACTCGTACCCCTAAGGTTTTACCCCTAAAGGTTCCCCTATTTAGTGACTCCTAATATGCCCCTGAAACTACCTCAGATTGTACCCCTCAAGGTTCCCCTTAATATACTCGTAGTATGGCCCTTATACTACCTTAGAGGATCTTTAGAACTGTCCCCAAAAACAAAGAGTACAACCTCAAGGGTAGGTAAAATCCCGAAACCCTAAACCCTGAACCCTAAACCCTAAACCCTAAACGTCCAAGGTAAAATCCCTAGAGTGTGAAGGTGAGGATCCTGAACACCATTAGCCCTAAACCCTAGCCCTAAACCCTATACCCTAAACCCTAAACCCTAAACCCTAAACCCTAAACACCATAGAGCCTTCGTGTGAAGGTGCGGATCCTGAACACCATCTGCAAGCGGAGTTCCCTTGATGGCGATCCTCCGGAGACATCCCCGCACTACGACGAGGTCGACTCAGGCTCCATGATTGGGTTTAGGGTTTAGGGTTTTGGGTTTTGGGTTTTGGGTTTTGGGTTTTGGGTTTAGGGTTTAGGGTTTAGGATTAGGGTTTAGGGTTTAGGATTTAGGGTTTAGGGTTTAGGGTTTAGGGTTCAGGGTTTAGGGTTTAGGGTTTTAGGGTTTTAGGGTTTTAGGGTTTAGTTTTTTTCGTGAATGTATAATCGATATGTTGAAGATACTTGCTACTTTCAATATTTCTTGTTATGCTGTGATACTCATTTTGTATATTGCTTGTTGAGTGTCTGAGGGTTTTACGTTTTAAGGGTTCAGGGATGTTCTTTTGAGTTGTGTATGACAGGTTGCGTTGCAGTTTTTTGTTTCAGAGCGGTTGCGCATATCGGTTTTCGCACAGGATTACCGACACGAGGCACTGGGGGGCTCATCTGTGCGAGCAAGAAGAATAGATGGCTTGGAACTCCACGAGGTATCGGGCAATCCCAAATACCCAATGCACCGCCACAGAATGTAAGTTATTGCTTCATCATGACTTGTGTCTTTGCCACGCGTTTGGGTACCCTAGACCTAAACCCCAAAACCCTAAACCCCAAACACTAAACGCTAAGCCCTTATCCCCAAACCCGACTCAAGACCCTAAACCCTAAACTCTGAGCCTTAAGGGATAGGTACGTTCACCAAGATCCTCGTCACGACTCTCTCTCATTATACAGTCCCTTCAACAGAAACAGGTTGCGCAAGAGTCTAAGACTCTAGAATCCTGCGTGAGTAGGTAGAGGATACCACAGAAACACTTCATATCCCTAAACCCTAAACTCTTCTAGGTAGAGGATACCACGGAAACACTTTATAACCCTAAACCCCTCTTAAGAGCCCTGAACAGTGCCCCAGCAGCGAGGCCTCCGCGCAATCTTCGCCCTCTCGGCTCTGCCCATTTGCGCAAAGCGCGGGCTTCAGAAGGCCTCGCGCCCAGCATCAAACTCCGCCTAAGATGGCTAGGATGCCCAGTATTGCCCTTATTCCCTTTTTGTGCGGTCTAAGTTCCCTTATAAACCCCTGTTAACCTAGGAGCCTGCCCGGTTTAAGGTTTAGGGTTAGTTACAAAATGGGTAGTTATCCAAATTGGGGTCCCTTTATGGGTCCCCTTTACAGTCTTATGGGGCTTGACGGGAAAATAAAGTTTATAGAGTTCAGTCTCGGACTGCGACTTAAGTAATTATGTTGGAACTCTCAGCCCTACGTTCAGAGAACAGACCGTCAAATGCATAGTGGTCATCCTCGGCAAAGGCATCGTCCAGCCACTTACACAGGAAGCCGATTCCCTGCAACACGCGAGTTCTCCCTACACCCGATTTGCGTGTTTTTGCTTTGGGAGTTGCCTGTCCCTCAGGGGCATACTGCAGGAAACTTGGTACCGCCCAAATAAAGAGAGCTTAAGTTAGAAGCCTCTACATTAGAGCCTAAACTTTGGATGTTCCCCTGTATACTACAAGTCCTTAATAGGGATTATAGCACCCGCTATTAGAATCCCGATGAAGGACTTATAAACCCTAAACCCTAAACCCTAAACCCTCAGTTCAGGGGCATTTAGCCTCAGGAGCTTGGGGCCATTGCAGACGTACTGCGCCAGGACACTGGGGTCTCGGTCAGGTCCTTGCAGACCAAATAATCTAACATTGGGACCATATGCCTATACAACTTTTCTTATTCTTATTATTCTTGATATTCCTATTAAGGTACTATGAACCACAAACCCTTTCAGGTTCTCTTCGTCCTCAAAAATCTGCCGGCGGACAGAACGCAGGGGTAGTAGGTCAAAGGTGAATGAAGCCCAGTTGGGTTCCTACAAATTCCCTTGGCTAAGAAAGAAACCATATAAGCCCTAATCCTCCAAGCCTAAACCAAGCATCCCTAAGCCGAAACCCTCGGCCCAAAAAACTGCCCTGGCTTTGGGCCATACGCCTGACCACCGCCGCCGCTTCAGGACACGCGTGAGCGGGAGGCACTGAATGTGAATCTTGGCCATGTGAATTGGGTTTGAGCGTGTTCATGTATGGTTGCGGGTTGTAAGTCCTTTGGGGTCTTTGACAGGTGGAGGTTTTGGGGGGGATTCTCAGAGCTTTAGGGTCTAGGGCTTCGCAAGAACTATGCCTTGAAACCCTAAGTCGCCGCTTCAGACGCAGGGGAACCAAGCGCAGGCCATGCGGCAGTCGTTTCGGCTTTAAGATTTGGTCCACAATCTTCTGAATCACGCCTTGTGACTTCGCGTGCTGAGTCAACCTTGTCACGCAGCACGAATACCTCCCAAGATCTCGCAAGTCACAAGAGCCCTATACAAACGCTCTTGGACTCAGATGACAACCCTCTTGGACTCAGATCCAGCAAAATACCCAGAGTGCCACTCGCCCCATGGAGCGCGTTCTGCTGATCTCCCTGGGCTCCCGCGGGGACATGGAGCCCTTCCTAGCCCTGGGCGAGGAGCTGCAAATGGCTGGGCTTCTTGGCCCAGTATGAAGACCAGATACCCGAAGCTTTTGCAAGAGCCGCCAAAACGGGCAGGCATCCCGGTGCTTCTCTCACTCTTCTTGTGCTCCAAAAAAAGTGGCGGCCGGCTCATGGCCAGGAGTCAGGTAACCTTACTTAGGAATCCAAGTCCCTTCTGCTAACAGTCCTTCATAGGGAGTTTCTTTTAGGTACTATCATGCCGATGAAGGACTGTACTAGTATAAGGGGGAACATCCCTAAACCCTAAACCCTATACCCTAAACCCGAAGCCCTCAGTTGACGCCGAGGCACGCCGTGGCCTTCTGCATGCCGGCGCAGTTTGAGGGCCTGGCCACAGAGGTCAGCCAGACCTTCTACGCCATGGACAAGGCTCTCCAGGGAGAATTTGTGGGATCGCCCTAAACCCTGAACTGTTGAGCAGATCTTCGGGTTTAGGGTTTAGGGTTTAGTGTTTAGGAGGTTGTTGAGGTTGTCAGTACTCACAGCTTGGGAGGTTCCCCCTTATACTAACACAGTTCTTAATCGGGATGATCGTACCCCCTATTATTATCCCTTTGAAGGAACATCCCAGCTCACAGACATAGAATCAGGGACCAAGTTAGACCCAACCCATCCTTGAAGAGAAATGTCCTGAGCTCGCAGTAGACTTCAGGGGGTGAAGAGCTATAAGGGCTTCGGGAAGCTTAAATGGGAGTTTACGATGATGAGGGACCCCTACGTACTACAGCTCCCCAAATAGTAGGGTCCCCTTTTCATAGTAAGGTACCCCTGATGTCGTAAGCCCCCGAAGCCTGAACCCCCGAAGCCCTAACCCCTTTGCCCTAAAGGCTTACTTGGAGCTGGTCGAGAACGACGACGTCAGAAGGAGCATCCGGAGACCCCAGACCTTAAACTCAAACCCTTATCTGTTCCAGCCTCCTTCACTGAGCATCCTAGCTTACCCGAAACCCTAAACCCTAAACCCTAAACAGCCCAAACCCCCTGGAGCCCCTAATTAAACCCTTTAACCCCAGAGTTCCGCATAGTTCCAGGGTCATCGGCCAAGTGGGATCGGCCTTTTCGAGGCTAAGGGCGAGCATTCGGCTGCTGCATCTCAGACTGCCATAGCTGGCACGGTGTAGGTGTGTAGGTTTAGGGTTTAGGGTTTCAGGATTTGGGGGTTTCCGAAATTAGGGGTACCTTCTTGGGGTCCTTATTGTAAGGGGAACCTACTATTTGGGGGACGCATTTAGGGGGTCCTCAATTTTCGTAAACCCCTGTTTTGGTTTAGGGTTTAGGGGTTTAAGGCAAGGAGGGTGTTAGGGTTCACAGGGTTTAAGAAGGTGGGAGACTCAGTCGCTTCAGACGCAGCTCGTCCGCGACCAGCGAGCGGCCGTCGACCAATTTCGGCCCGACCTCATCGTCTTCCATGGCAAGCGCCTAGGAGAGTCGGGGGTCTTATGGGGTTTACGGTATCCGGCCACCGAAAGCCTAAACTGAACCCGACACCCCTAAATCTCACATCCCTAAGTCCTATGAACTTTAAACTCTACAAGCTCTGAACCCTAGGCCCCATAAGCCTCACAAGCCCCATTGTCTTGCACCCTACAAGCGCCAAACCCTCGTGGCAGACCCATCTAGGACTCGGGGGGGACTCCAGTGGCGGGTTGTAGTTCCGTATTCGTTTAGGGTTTAGGGTTTAGGGTTTAGGGTTTAGGGTTTATAGGGTTTAGGGTTTAGGGTTTAGGATAGGCAATTGCAGTCTTGTAGTAATTTTACCCACAAGGCGCCAGGTGTGCCGTCAGACGCGGCTGTCACTGATTTGGTGTGGGGGGGGGGGGGGGGGCAGACCGCTTTTTATGCCTTCAAATTAAATTCCTTTTTTTCGGTTTTGAAAGCCTCCAAGTTCTGCAACTTCATCGGCTGCGTTGGGTTAGACACACCCGCCCAAAGGCCGTCGCTTCCCATTCTTCAAGACATGTTTTTGAGACCCGAAAGGGGAAAACCTGTTCAAACAGCCACCAATGATTTAGGGAGCCAGCTCATAGAATAAAAATGCAACAATATTAATTAATGCAAAAAAAGGTATTAAAAAAAAAAAAAAAAAAAAAAGGTTGGCAGTTTTGTCCGCATGCCCCTTCACCACCTCGGTGGCGTCATGATTACGTTGAAATGCCCAAGCAGCTTTCGAACCCGAAGCTTCTGGGACGTAACGGCAGCGAGCCAGCAAACACACCCAAACGGCAGCAACTTCCCCATTGTCTAAACCCAACCCAAGGAGCCCAGTAACCCATATATCAGGAACCATTCTGGTAACCAGCCTCCGAGGCAACTGGCTCGGAAGACCCTCATTTCAGGAACTGGTTCCGAACAGGGGTCCTGGAACCATTCCTGGCCATTGAAAGCCGGGTTTATCAATGTTCATCACGGACTAAGCAGGAAATGCAGCGCTAACCAAGAAACTTATAGGCAGCAAGCAGTTCGGGCGTTGATGCTCAAAGCTTTTCGGGCTGGGGTGTAGAGAGATGTCTGATTTACTAGGGTGTAGGGTTGGCTCTTAGGGGTCTGGTGCGCGGGGATGCACAGATTTCGCCCCCTCCCCCAGCAATTCTGGCTTCATTGAGAGAGACAGTCTTCCAAATAGCACTGCAAGCTTTCATCGGGTTATTCCCACTACCAGTGCAGAACTAATACACAGAAACACCATCCCCGCCCCGACTCCACTTCAAGCCTCGACTGACCATTCTGAACGCGAAAAAACAAAAGGGCTTATAGGGTTGCAAGTTGAGGGGATTCGGGATTGTAAGATTTTAGGCGAGAGCTTAAGGGTTTGGCGGTCATGGATCTTAGTGTTGGGTGTGGGGTTTAAGGCCTTGGGGTTTAGGGTTGGAAGGGTTTGTTTCCTTTGGTCTCCTGCGCATGGAACCTCGTAGTTTCGGCCCCCACACATACTCACCTACACCATAAGACCCCCTGCATCTTTAAAGGATTCTCTGCTGAAGCCCAATCCTCTTTTCCAGCCGGCCCGCCCCAAGCTCCCTTTGCCAAAATTCTCCTAATCAGGCCCGGAACCGTAGAAATCGGACCCGGAACCGTAGAAATCGGGCCCGGAACCGTAGAAAATGGGCCCGGAACCGTAGAAACGGGGCTCAGAACCGTAGGAATTGTCCCGAAGCATAATGCATCCCCAAATTTCCCAACTTTCACAAATTTGCGCGGAAAGCCTGGCAGTTTTGTAGGAATCGTGTTGCAGCGAGAGCCGCGCATGTCGCAGCAAACCGAAAGCACAGGCCACCAAACGAGAAACCGAGGAAAAGGCGAACACGTCACCAGTAATTTAAGTTTGCTCTCAATTGTACAAGCCCAAACCGCCCAACAAAGTCTAGCATTGCTAAAAAGCTGCCAACTCGTGGCCCTTCGGCTTCAGTGCAGTCATGCATGTTTGTGTTTTTCAAGAAAAGCTATAGGTTTCGGGCCCAGGGTTGGTTTCGGGCTGAAGGTTAAAAAGGTTCGAGATTCGAGGTTAAGGGTTTAAAGGCTGAAAACTGGTTGAAAGATTTCAGTAGTTTCTACGGGTATATGATGCCACATACGTAGGAAGCTGGAGAACACCCGAACCCAGCAACACCTGACTTCTCGGGTTTCCCTTAGAGCTTGCAATGTTCGTGGCAAGGTTTCTGCTGAATATAATCCAAGCTTTCTGGGCTTCTTGTTGTTTGTCGGCGCGAGAAGATGCCATCTTGCGATTTTGAGCTGCGCAGTCCCTTTTCAAGATGAAATACCTGTGGATCTGTAGCATATGTTGGCCCTTGCACCTTGGCTATCAAACGCCAAAGCCCTTTATGGTTCCAAGAAAGTTTTGGTGTCCCAAAAATGTGGCAACCAGCCCCAGTTCCTGAAAAAATTGGGCCTTGGCCCCCAAGGGCCAGCCTCACAGGTCCTTGGGCAATATCCGAGAGGCATATCTGGATGAACGTCAGCAAGGTCAGCGTACTGCAGATTTGTCCGGCCGGTCAGAACTTGGAGTTGTGAGTATGTGATGCTTGCTGTTCAAGGAGAGCGGGGTTTCGATGATAGGTGAGCACTAGGCTCTTGCGCACTGCCGCTGGATTTCATCCCGCTGGGTTCCATCCAAGAAGAAGATGAACAAGAGTGGGTGGCCCAGTGTTTTCATGATGCCAATCGTCTGCAAGGTTCTCCCTACAGATCCTCGATCCTGCTTTACTTGTTGAGTTCTCTCCTGAGTGTGCGGGGCCATGTTTCAATGTGGAAATGAGGGCAGATGGCTCACGCACCGGACTTTTGAAAGGGCGCGCGCGTGCGAGCTGGTGCACGCGCGCGCTTTGAAATTGAACCTGCAGGCCAGCTTTATGTGGGATTGCCGAGGGCGAAGTTGATGTCGATGTAGGATGAGCGACAGAAAAGGCTAGTTTGACTATAACCAAGTTTGGCGCGGGGCGTTGGGTTTCCTGAGGTTCACCTGTGTTGTCACCGTAGTACACTGCAGGCAGCCGCTGTCGGTCAGTGAGTGTGAGGAGGATGTTTCCGTTTTGTGTCTTTGATTGTTCCCATTGTTTTTTGTTTCTTCTTTGCCTTGAAATAACAGCGCGATGAGGGAATAAGCGGGATGATGTATGAACGAAAGACAGAAGCAAGGAAGGGAAAGAACCCTAGAACGACAATCACGAACGAAGCCCAGAATAGGCTAGGACAGAAAGAGCGAACCTGCAAACATCACGAAATCAATATTATTCAACGCAGAGATCATGCACACGTGGTGTAGCAAGAAATGTCCAATGATGCCAGCGCAAAATCAAGTCAGTCAAGAGCCGATGCAAGGTGCCATCAGCAGAAGGTCAGGCATGACGCTATACCCCCTTCGCTCTCCCCCCTTCCATCGTGCCCGTGTGCTTGTGTCGCCCCCTGCCCGTGCCCCAGTTCAAGAGAGGCGGGGGTTTCCAAGTTTGTGGAAGTTGCTTCTTATTTTTTGTCTTGCCAGTAGCGTGTCTTTGGTTCAACCGCTGGAGGGACTTGCGCCTTCCATGTTGACCTTTTTGGGGTGCCTGTTGTGGCCACCGTTAATTACTCGACCCAGAACCTAGGGTTTCTTGACAACCATGACTGGTTGGCAAACCCTAGGAATCGAGTCGTTGTGCAGCTGTGACCTCTCCTTCTGGAGCTACCTAGCTGACCTTAATGGCTTAATGCTCATATTCGCAGAGTGACTGACCTGGCATCTGTTGTGCTCTTCTGAAAGACAAGACAGACGTTTTTGCTTTGCTGGTAGGAAGCCATGCGACGAAGTTGCTCTTGTTTCTTGCTCCTTCAGAACAAGCTTTTGCAAGCCTCCTCTTTTGCTCAAGCCATAGCTTCGCGGGTTGTCACGCTCTGAAGGCCAGTGCCACAGCGTCAGATTCAAATTCTACAGGAGTGTTCAGTCTTCGACAGTTCGGAGTCTGGTGGCAAGGTCAATGGCTCCTAAAAGGCGAGCTCAGCAGGCACGGCGGCCAAGTTTTCCAGCAGTGTGTGTGCGCGTTGTGTATGAAGTGTGTGTTCAGCTACCTCCGAAATAAGGGTTCGGAGCCACAGCTGGTTTTGGTACGGTCTGTGTGGGCCCCCTCGGTGTGAGCTACGTCTTAGACATTACGTCTAGACATGTGTTCTCTCAACGCATCTGGATATTTTATGTTGTCTTTGCGTCGGTCCTGCTTCTGTTCTTATGCGCAGGGTTGCTCAAGTGCAGCTGGCTCAGATCTGGAAAGTCAGTTCAGGTAGCGTGCGTCGGTTTTCTTGTCTTGCTGGTCCGGTTGCTCGGTTGCTTGTTTGGTGGGTTGGTCTCGGGTTTCGTTGGTTGCTAGCTGGTTGCTGGTTAAATGCCAGGTCGCGCGTGCAAAGATTTTGTGTTCGCGCTGTCTCTCGGTGTACAGCCCCTGCTGCTGTTCACGCGGCGTCATGCCACAACGGTCCCTGGTGCCGGACAGTGCTCTTGCGGAGCTGTCAGAAATGAGACGACGTCTTCGCAACCTGCGAAGGCGAAAGGCAAGAGTGTGCTTTGAGTGTGCTTGCAAAGGGCCCGCCGCATTTGTCGGGCCAGCGTGCAGACCAAACAGCCGATGCTGGTGCCCGAAGATCAAAATCTGCAGACTTGAGTGCTTTTTGGATCAAAGCATAAAAACACCGTAAAAAACAATGTTTACAGCGCGCGCACACACATGAGGCAGGCAACCATGTTCTTATATGCCTGACGGCAAACGTGGTGTGTAACAACACCCGAAGAACATCAGAAACACTTCACCATCTCGACATGCCTCCCGTACCACAAAAGCCAATAGAAAAAATCGCGACGGCAAAGGCAGCGTCCTGTGCGTGATTTTGCATGAGTACAGTGTTCGTATGCGCGGTAGTATTCGTGTCAGTATGAGTATGATGGTGTTATTGTCATTGTTACTGTTGCTTTTGGTCTTCTTACGCGTTGTTCTCAACTTCGTTTATTCTTCTTATTATTGTCCATGTTAACTTGTTAATCTTATTAGAATTGTCATGGTTTCCTCTTCGCTGTAGTTACTATCCCACAGCCCAAACCTTAATCAACCTTATTCAAACTAGACACCTCAAAAATCCCGAAACGTATACTCTAAACCTTATGAGCCCTAAACTCCATAATCCCTATAAACCCAACACCCCAGTTCCCGAGGTGCGTCTATCCCATCCTCGCGGCCCTGGCGCACGGCCAGCGGGTGAAGATGCTGTGCCCAGTCCCATGCATGCCCTTGGGCTTCTGAGAAATTAGGGTTTCAGGGTTCAGGGTTCAAGTTTTAGGGTGTAGGGTTTAGGGTTTAGGGTTTAGGGTTTAGGGTTTAGGGTTTAGGGTTTAGGGTTTAGGGTTTAGGGTTTAGGGTTTAGGGCCCCTAAGCCCTCAACACCCTCGGTCGCCTGAGAAACTCTGAAGATAAGTCTGATAAAGCGCTGAACCTAAACCTATGGCCTTGTTTGGGGGAATATGATCACTTACAACGTCCCAGGTTCCTTACAATAAGCCCTGAAGCGGTTTAGGGTTTGGGGCTGATAGGGTTTATAACCCTGAACCAGCCCTAAACCCTGGAACCCTAAACCCTAAGCCCTATCACCCTTAACCCTAAACTTTTCACCCTAAACCCTAAACCCTACGCCCTGAACCCTAAACCAAACGCTGAAGCGAGGATCCACGCTGTGGACTACGAGCCCAATGTCGGCTTCGGAGACCCTGGCTCTCAGTGGTGGAATCGCCTCTAGTCTGTTCGTTTAGGTAGGGTTTAAAGTTTAGGGTTTAGGCTTTGGGGTTTGGCGTTTAGGGTTTAGGATTTAGGGTGTATAGGTATAGGGTTCAGGGTGTAGAGTTTAGGGTTCAGGGTTTTGCTTTTAGTCCCATTATAGTGTCTTTTTTTCGAACTGGGACAGTCCAGTCGAATCATAGATATGTCTTGAAGACTTCCAAAAACAGTCAAGGCCTGACGTACTACATCGCCAACAGGGTGTACAGCAAGTGCCCTGCCCATTTGCGGTTTAGGGTGCCGAGGGCATTTGGGTTCTTTATGCTTGGCTTTTAGGGCTCTACTGCTGATTTCATGCTGCTTGGGGCTTCAGTGCTCTAGGGCGGTACTATGGGGTTTAGGCCTTGTGGGGTTTTAGGGGTCAAGGCTTTTGGCACGGCTTAAACGTGCGTGAGAAGGTTGATGAGCCTCTGGCTGCCAGACTTAGAGGACTCCAGGGTTAACGGTGTCTGTCGTCTACCAAAAAGTTGACAACTCAAGGGATTAAGGGTTTAGGTCCGTATAAACCCTATAGAATCTCTGAACCGCCCTAAACCCTAAACCCTAAACCCTAAACCCTTGAGGTGTATCCTGGGCCTGCCGAAGGAGGAGTTTCAGCTGCACGATGTGGACTACGCGCGCATCAACGCTGCTGAGCTAACCTTCAGGGTCACCTACATTGGCAGAGGGTCGGCCTAGGCTGTATGTTGTATGTGTATTTGTAAGGATGTGTATATATAAACGGACAGTTCTCTGAACTATTGTCCCTTTGGGGGACCCTGTGTTTAAGGGAAATTCGAGAACTGACCATGGGGCTTATCAAGTTGGAGCTCATGCATTTCTTGGCTGCCGGTGAGACGAGGCCTTCATGCTTGAAGAGATGCCCGTGGAGTACGCGATAAGCGCGCGGCTCTTCCCGAGGCCAGATTGTCGTTGCCCTATTTGGGAACCGGATCCTTGAAGAGACGGTAAAACTACCCTCAGAGAGTTTAGGGTTTAGGGTTTAGGTTTAGGGTTTAGGGTTTTGATGAAGGAACCATATACGCGCCTCAACTTCAGCCCAAGCCCGAATTACAGGCCCATCCTAAGACCCTAAGACCCTAAGCTCCAGAGGTGCCTGAGCCCCTCAGTCGTTTAAGCAAGCTTCTAGGCCATCCTCCTGGCCGGCTCACGCGACGATCACGGAGTTCCGCGAGCGCGACAAGGCGAAGCACTGGACGGCGCCCCCAGATCTGCTGCAGTTCCTGTCCGACTACCCAGACCCGCTCTACGTGGGTTTCGGGAGCTGAAGATATCCCTGTAACCCCGAGTACCTACTACAGTTAGTAGTCCCCTTAAGGGCATAAGAATGTAGGTAATTGGGGTTACAGGTCAGTGGTACTCTACTAGCGTTTTTAGAGGTTTCCTTATACTGACCCCATATCCTTTTATTGTTTCACTTGGTAATGCAGGAGCATGGTAAATGAGAAGCCTGACGAAGTTGGCCAGATAATCCTGGATGTTTCTTGTGAGATGAACCTTCCTGTGCTGCTGAACGCCGGCTGGGGAGGCATTCGGGTCTCGGATGGACAGCTTCCTTCACATGCTTTTATTGTCAACGACATCCCATATGACTGGCTTTTCTCTCGCGTCCGTGCGGTGGTGCACCATGGCGGCTCTGGAACTACCCATAGCGCGTTGCGGTTCGGCAAACCGCAGCTGCTTATTCCTCACATCTCCGACCAGTTCCTTGGAGATCAGCTGAACCCGGAAAAAATGGGGCCATATACCTGTACTGCAGTAGTGTCTATGAAGGAATATGAGTTCCATAAGCCCTTTTTGTTCACTTCGTCCCCAAGGTTTCTGTGGATGCGGCTGGTGAACGCAGCAGGGTTCGGGCCTATGGGCTTTCCCATCAAAGCTTTCACCAAAGATGCCTTCAGAACCAAGCTCACGGAGCTGCTGAGTGGAGAGTATAGGAAGCCTGGGTGACAGCGCCTTCCACGTGCCTGCCTGGCAAGGGAGGCCAAGAAATCCCACACCACGCGGAACAACTTGAGCCCGCAAGCTGGAACGGATTGCAGGAGGGATCTGAGTCGGAGGTTTGGAGGCGACATCGCTTCCCGAGTTATGGTTGGACCTCTTCCATCGAGTGGCTCAGCAGAGTGAACGATGTCTACCAGTCAGCTGTAAGCTGATGCATCTACTGGTGGGGTCTGGACGATACTAATCTGCTTCAAGGAGGGCGGCACCCTCATCGTGGCATGCGGCAAACCTTGACAGCAACGACCGCGCCATGAAGGCCGGCTGTGAGCGCCGGTTATCAGCAGCACAAGTGACGAAAATTCTTTGGCAACCTCGACCCTCTTGCTATCAGCCCCGATTCATAGTCTAGGGCTTTGGGTTTAGGGTGTAGGGTTTAGGCTTTAGGCGTTAGGGATTAGGGATTAGGGTTTAGGGTTTAGGGTTGGTAGGCGTCTTCTCCTACTGGGTCCTCTTCGCTGCAGCGTAAGCATGGCTGAACCAACTCCGCCCTGAACCCTAAACCCTAAACCCTACACCCTAAACCCTAAACTAAACCCTGGTACGGCAGGAGGTTGACTTTCCTTTTCGGTGTGCGGGCGGTTCAGTCGCCCTTGTGCCCTATAAGAAGAACCTGGGACCCTCTTTATCTACAGTTTTATCGGTTATGCCTACTAGTTTCCACAGCAAGGGAGCACATTTCAGAGACATGACCAAAGTAACCCAAAATTTATCGGGCCTTAACTTTACACAGCCCATAAACCCTATAACCCCTAGAATCACCCCTACAGACTCTGCAAACCCATAAGCCCTCAGACGCCCCTGCAAACCCTGAAAAGCCCTAATCCCTATAAGCACTGCAAGCCTATAAACTTTTACTGAACACAACCCCTGTCATCCCTAGAAGCCCTACAGAATCTGACAGCCCTTATACGCCCCACAAACCCAATATCACCTAAAGCCTACATGGTCACTTCTCCAAAATATGGTCCCTTTAGGGATCCTTTTTATACGGCGGCCCGTCCTATTTAGTAGGGTATACCCAAAAAGGGGGACCCTCGTTTTGAGACCCTAAACCCTAAACCCTAAACCCTAAACCCTCAACCCTCAACCCTAAACCCTAAACCCTAAACCCTAAACCCCAAACCCTAAACCCTAAACCCTAAACCCTAAACCCTAAACCCTAAACCCTAAACCCTAAACCCTAAACCCTAAACCCTAAACCCTAAACCCTAAACCCTAAACCCTAAACCCTAAACCCTAAACCCTAAACCCTAAACCCTAAACCCTAAACCCTAAACCCTAAACCCTACACGAATTTTGGGCGCCTAGGAACCTCACCGACATGGCCGAGCTCAGTGACGAGCTGCTGGTGAGCCTGGCGCCCACCCTGCCGCCGAAACTCCAGGACCCTGCAGACTTTGGAGTTTTGCTTGGGGATTGGAGTTCAGAGTTTAGGGTTTGGGGTTTAGGGTTTGGGGTTTGGGGTTCAGGGTTCAGGGTGTAGGGTTCCTGGGCCAGAAAAACTCAAAGTTGAAGCGATGCCCTGAGGCTCAGACCCGACACCATCCACTCCAAAGTCTGAAGTCCCAAAGCTCCGAGCCCCCTAAACCCAAAGCCCCCCCAAAAAACTCTCAAAGCCCTTTAATGTAAATCCTAAACCCTAAACCCTAAACCCTAAACCCTAAACCCTAAACCCTAAACCCTAAACCCTAAACCCTAAACCCCCACACAATCCGAAACCCTCAAGAATCCGTAGAACACGCAGACCTTGAGGCCCTCAACCCTAAACTCTTGACTCGAACGCTTCGATGGCTGCCTCGGTAAGGGCTTTTAGGGTTTGGGGTTTGGGGTTTAGGGTTTAGGTTGGGATGTCCTCCTTGTACCAACAGTCCTTGTGATTGGGATTCGAGTACCAGTACCCCCTATTCTATTATCCCTATTCAGGATCTGTTAGTATAAGGGGAACAAACCCAATTTGCAGGTGTTAAGGATTTAGGCCCCCTTGTAGTTTGTAGTTTGTAGTTCTGGCCGAGAGTTTTTGTTGGCTTGCCGGGGCAAGCCTCTCAACGCTCAACCCTCAACTCTTTCACTGCTCCCATGGGTGGTCGTAGGGCTTAGGGTTTCGGGCATTGCATCAACTGAGCGCTGCTGTGAATCAATGTGAAGCTGCAAAGCCCCACGGCGCTGCTCACTACCCCTCCCTTAAACCCGAAAATCGTAAACCCTAAACCCTAAACCCTAAACCCTTTGCCTGTGAAACCGGTCCCCAGAGACGATCACCCAGCCTCGTTCCCCAAAAAACGCACCACGCCGTTTCGTCTCGAGTCTGCGGCCTTCTGTGGGTTTTCTTGGGCTTTCTGTGGGCCCCCCTCTTGTGTTGGAGGGCCTTCCATGAGCGATTCGAAGTAAGAGAAGAGGTGCCTTCAAGGGTAGGACGAGCACACACACACATACACATACTCTCTCTCTCTCTCTCTGCCGCTCTCTCCTCTCTCTCTCTCCCTCTCTCGCTCTCCCGCTCTCCCTCTCTCCGCCCCATTGAACAAGAACGGGTTCCGTTTTTGGTTCTCGGGGCTCTGGGAGAATCCTAAACCCTAAACCCTAAACCCGAAAGGACCTGACCCTGCACCTGACGCGCTGCATGAAGATCACCGATGCTGGGCTTCAGGCCAGCTTCCTAGGGGTTTAGGGTTGAGGGTTGGGATGTTCCCGTCATCATAGTAGAGATTCTAGCACCCCCTAGTATAATCTCTATTAAGGATTAGTTAGTGTAAGGGGGAACATCCCAAGTTGAGGGTTCAGGGTTAAGGCATGCTTCTTTTTAAAGGAGAGCAGCAGGGGACCTCCATCCATGGGGGACCCATGGACACGCCACAAAAAGACCCTAAACATGGGGCCGCACTTACATGTGCACTTCTCCTGCAGTTGCTTAGGGGCCCCTCGTTTGGAGGTCCAAATTCAAAAGGAGTTCCTGCACATCAAAGGCCCCCCACTTTTTTTGAGGTGACCTTAAACCCCATAAGCCACAACAACCCCGAAGTCGAAAAAGCGCCTAGATGTGGTGTAAGGAAAGTTCGGGATACAGGGTTTCGAGGTCGAAACCGCCTGTGGAAATGTGGCCGAAGCTCGCTGTGTGTTCAACAGGTTTTGGGGGTTTAGAGCTCAGATTTACACTGTAATGGGTTGTGGGGTTTATAGGGCTTAGTTACAGGGTTGATAAGGTTCATAGGGTGGCAGAGTTGACAGTAGGCTTAGTCATCAAGGCTTAGGCACCAAGGCCCAGATGAGAATTTGCCCATGCTCCAAATCTGCCAACCCTCAGCAAACCCCCTCAACACCACAACCTACGACCCCCATCATATCCCAAACCCTAAAAGCTCAACTCACCCGTTTAAGCCATTGGCATGAGTGGGGGGTTTAGGGCATTAGGGTTAGCTTGGTAGCCCAGTGGTGCCCTCTTGTTGTTGGTCTAAGGTTCCCTTTTGACATGTAACCAACCCCACAAAGGGTACCCTAAACCCCAAGCCTTGAACCCTAAGCCTTAAACCCCAAAAAGATATACCCTCACTATAAGATGGCTACCAAGTTGGGCATTCGCCATGGCCACTCAACGCCCACACCCTTGAAGCCTGGGACCATAAGCATCGACATGCGCCTGATGGTCAGTTCTCGGAACTCCAAATGGTGTTCCCTTTGGTAGGGATTAGGGGCCAGGGTTTAGGGTGAGGTATGTCCGAAACACGACCCAACATCCCGTCGCCCACATGCATCGCAGGCGCTGTGCAAGTGATCCTCGGCCGGCCATACTCGACATTAGCCCTAGACCCTGAACCCCAAACCAAAACGCCCTGAACCCTGAGCTCCAAACCCGAAGCCCTAAACCCGAGGCCCTTATTCACCAGAACAAAAAAACCTACCGCTATATACGGGTTTCGGGTTTAGCGTTACAGTCCACAACCCTTTCTCTCCGCCAGGGTTCTTGAGAACGTACCACATCTTGCCTCGCGCAAGGGGCTTCGAGTTGAGGCCTTCTAGGACCCAGAGTAGGACCCTTCAATTCCATTGGTTTGGGGTTTAGGCTCCCTTTTCTAAGCCTCTTTAAACCCAAAAAGGGCAACCTTATGATACCTATAGGTTAGCCTTACATGAACTCCATGGGTAGGACTACGTCAGCTGCATCTTCCGAAGCCCGGCGCTCCCTGACAAGAGTCCATGGCGTCACACGAAAAACTAAGTTCTATAAACCCTGGGTAGTTCTCCTATACATAGTCCGGCACCCTTACAGTGAGGACCCTACAAGGGACCCGAATTTAGAGGACGACCCAACAAAATCCTAAAACCCCCCATCGCTCATTCCCCACTCGGGCGAATCTCAGGCATGCCACCATCTCTCAGCCGCATGTACCTTGGTCATAGTTGGGTGACACTTTAGATTTTTGAGGGTACTTAAACCCCATAAGGAATAAACAATTTACAATTGTTATACGATCCCAACCATGAGCTAGGTACATCGCGGTCTACGGGTGCCGGGAGATCACGGACGAGGGCGTGAAGGCCGTGGCCGAGGTACTGTCCCTTGGGCTCATGTGTATAAAGGCCTGGGGGTTGGGCTTGCGGGGGTTCGCAATTGGGTTGTTTTCGGTCTTTAATGTTAGACAACGCTTATCATAGAATCCCTGGTTGAAACGGATTCCCTAAACCCTAAACCCTAAACCCTAAACCCTAAACCCTAAACCCTAAACCCCTTTTCGGAGTTTTGAGCTTTCAGCCTCAGTCCGTAGGGCTCGCCATGGCTGCATTTACAGGGTTTAAGGCTTCAAAGGCCTTTTGGGGCTTTAAGAGCGGCTTTGCGTGGCTTTATGTTTTAGGGGTTCCCGGGTTCCCCTTGCTTGAGGCGATGAGGCCCCGAAAGCCTGCATTGATTTTTCTATGGCACCAAGAGCATGCTGGAAAGGTGTAGGCAAGTT